TGAACCGCGCGAAAGGTGGTTTTCCGAATATGTGCTTGCAGTAGAGAGGCCCAGGCCTTGTTTGAATCTGGTGGCCCTTCGCCGCACCGAGTCAACTCGTCGTAGTACGCCGCGACTTTTGCCTCCTCCATTTTCGAGCTCGACGGTCTGCAATGGTTGCTAGTATGAAGTGACAGCTTTGGGGCCCTAGTTCTTTTGTGTGCTAAATTGAGACTGGTTTTTACTGGAATCGAGTTTTGGTGTTCCACTGCTGAGTCGACGCCGGAGAGAGAAAAGGATGAGGGTTGGAGTTCCTGAGAAGCGAGAGGGGGTGAACAAGGGGCGTTGGGTTTGTTAGCCTGGGGAGGGGTTGAGATTTTTTAAGTTTATGTTATTTTATCATTTTATATAAAAAAATTTAGGAACTAGTTGGTTAGGAGGTGAGTCCCACAGTAGACACGTCAGCGTTTAATGATTGACCACACGGTCAACATAACGGAAGGATGAAATTGGACGATGTTACAAATATAAGGGTGTAAATTGATAAAATTGATACTTGGGGGTCTACATTGAGGATCACCTCAAACTTGCAAGGTATTTTTTATCGTTAGCCCAAAAACAAATAAATGAGATCAAAGCTTAAAATAAGGGAATTCTTCCAAAAGTAGGTTAAACGAAAAAGAAGGAAGGGGTAGGGCAGGGGTATGATTGCAGATTCATGGGTCCCACCCAAGACCCAATCTTACACAAGTTAATTAATCTCTTGGGGCTGTGCTTTTGGGCTCTTGATCATCAGGAGTCAGCCAACATCCAACTCTCTCTCTCCATCGCACACAACTTATCAACCCAAAAAATTGAGCTTCGGCCAATTGATCTCTTGGGATGATGTTGGGCTATATCTAAGTCTTTGGTTTATCATGGACCTGTCCTGGACCACCCAACCTATATAGCTGAACTTAAATGTAGAATTCTATTGTGAGGAACCTCATAGATGGGCCTTAAATAAGGCCCTCACTATAGAATTTGCAAGTGCATACTTTCTAAATTCGTTGGGCTCTGGTGCTTTTGAGTGTTCAGTAAATTCAATTCTACTGAGGAGTCGAAACCTCAAAACTCATCTTCTTCTCCTCAATTCTAGTGAGAGTTTGAAAGCTCATCTTCTTCTCCTCCTTTCTCTCCATGCCATCCTCGTTTCCTTGTCTCTCCTCCACCACACTGAATCATTGGTCTCAATGAACCACTCATGTCAGTAGAACCTCTCACTCTCAGTAGTTCATTGCCGGCCCCTCATTCTCCAGTGCTTACGATATCGATTCAAATGTCATGCTAGTAAATCCAAGACAAGACTCAGATATCGAATTGTAACCAGCCCTATAGAAAATGAAAACCTTGCATTGTGTATGAAGTAATCTTGAACTTCTCCACTTATTGCTAATTAATTTTAGGTTAGATACTTGACATTCTAACATCAAGTAGGAACAAAACAATAATTAAATTGAAGTTTGAGCATTCAACAACCATGCACCATCTAGCAAAGTACTCGTAAAATAATATATGTTCAGAAAAAAGTGGAAACACATTGCCTATTGTGCTTACCTTTAAGCTACCAAATACAAAATAGGGTTCCAACTTTAAACATATTATACCAATTCTTTGATAGGTTGAATCTTCCATATCAATGACACAAGTCACAAAACAAGGAAATATAGAAAGCTGGTCAACTTGGTGGGAGAAATCTTTTCAAAGATAAAACAAGCATACACATGCAAAATCTTTATGCATTTGCACCAAAAATAATTGATACCATCTTTAAGCGTTCTGCATATATTCATGGTCTCCACTTACAAATTGTACGGGAACAGTTGCTTTGACTCGCATTTCATCCGCAATATGCAGAAAAACTTGTATATAACGGAGATAGCATTAATATGAGTGAATTCCTCAGACGCATGGATAGCATTAGAGGTAGCTAGGCTTGTAAGGTGGCTGAAAATGTACCAGAACACGGCTCACAACAAGCTATTTAGAAATCATGATGTTTAGACTGGAAGAGCTGGAAACTCCCAGAGTGAAAAAGAACATGATGTGCATCGCCTTTTGGGTAGAACAGGAAAAGGGAAGCCTCTGATTTCCTGTCCTCCAACCTATGAAACTAAATTATGGCTCGAGCCTCGTTCACCAACAATTATAATTATAATGATGATGAAATCTGAAAATGAATGCATGGCCTGTAATTCCACTTTTTGTGTGAAAAACAGATGAATTAGATTTGAACACAAAACCTACTCTTTTTACACTCGTTGACAAGATTACTTAGATTTGAACACAATATTTCTCTCTTTCCTTTTTATCTTTCCAAAAAGTCAAAACACCCGCTAAAATATTCGACTCCTTTTGAATTTCCCTCTATGCACACACCATGGACTTGGAGAGTTGCAACCCAAGAGTTCATCTCAATGAGATCAGATGGAAGACGGATTCCCTCTTGAATCATGTTTGGATCTTTAAAGTTTCATACCCTTTATCCGATTTTCTCAGGTGCCAAACAGAACAAAAAGGAAAATTGAATGAAAACATTCTCAGCCAGTACAGGGAACTCACTCTTTTTTTCTCCTTTTCTGCGTGGAGGGTTGGTATTTGATGATGGGCCATAAACAGAAAAAAATAAAAAATTATTGGGCGCAAAACGAGAGAAGAAACACAATGACCCAAAATGAATACTAGTAGTAGGAATTTTATGTCAGCAAAAATAAAAGAAGATCTCCAAAATCTTACACCTGCTCAATCACTCTCCAAAAGCCCAAAATTAGTACTTAGTACATGAGGCTTCAAAAGGGGCAGCTACCAAAAATAACGAACAAAGTAAATTTCACTAACGAAAGAGACAGATGATAGGGGGAGGAAGGGAGGGAGGGGGGGAAGTTACACTGAAAAATAGAGGTTAGAATTGCCATTCTCCTAAGAACTATATCTTAATCATATTATTTATACTAATTATTCTAATGATGGAGAGACTAAGCATAGACAGAGCCATATGAAAGAGCCATCAGTAGCACAGCCGCTTGTTCTTCTTCCCCTAGCTTCCTCCTCTGCCTCTCCACCGTCGATCTCTGCATCAAAACCTCTCTTCCCAGAGCCAATAGCCTCTGCTTCAAACCATCGCCTAGCTGCTTGTTTCTCTTGCCCTTTTTATCATTGGGGTTTTCTTTGTTCAAGCCCAGAATGGCCCTTCTCTTCTTCCTGCTTCTGATCCCGCACGCATTGCATAGCGACTGTGAAACATAAGAAGACAAAAATCAGAAATCAGATCAAACCCGAATGAGAAATTTTGAAGAATAAATTAGGGTTTTTGGGAGCTAAAATGACCTTAGGGCCTGCTGGGCCTCCCCTCCATAGAGGAGTTTTGGAGGTTCCGCAGTCGGCGCAGGTCTTCTTATGGCCTTCTTCGGATGAACCCACATCTGGGGTTTTGATATTCATCTCCTCGGACTCTGATCCCTGCAACACAAGAACAAAAACCGATCCGATCAGCAGCTATTTGGATCAAAATAAGAAAGGAGATCGAATGAAAGCTCTGGATCAAATTACTCACTTTATCGCTTGGATCCAACATTTTCTATCTGCTATCTTGAAGATCTAAGACAAACCCAGATGAGAACGAATGAAACACCAAACTGGGTCTTCACCAATTAGACCAATTTGTTTGAGCTGAAGTAGGAGTCTGAGGTGACTCAGAAAACACTAGTTGTTCCAAAACAGAGCGATCTGAGAAAATCAGATCGATCAGAGCCTTGTGCCAAAGATTGAAGGAGGAGATTAGACACAAATCAGAGGATAAGATCAAAGAGTGCTATAGCTTTCCTAACCAGAACCCAATAAGACCCAGAAATAAAAGAGAGAGAGAGAGAGAGAGAGAGTAAAAATAGAGCGGCTGTGGTTAACGAAAGCAATGGAGCTCTGTGGTGATTGGTATGATGAGCCTAGACACGAAACTAAACCGACATGCGGTGAAAGAAAACGATAGAGAAGAAGAGAGAGTGTCTCTCTGAGTGTGTGTTGGAGAGAGTACTGCGTACTGAAGCAAAAATAAAGAAGAATCGAACCGACACACAAGCACCAGCCGCAGCAGATCTAAAAATTGCCTCCTTATATAAAAGAGACGCGAAACCCTAGCCCGGGTGTTTTGAAATGACCAAAGTGCCCCCAGTGGCTTGAAAAACACATCCTGTCATTTTGATCCAAAGGAACCAACCCGCCAAAAGGTTGGTGAAATGAACAAAAAGGGCGCCACATCTGAGCGACAAAAATTCAAGTCATTGGTTTGTTCTTTAAATTTTCAGAAGATATATAATAATAATAATTCATGGGAAAGCAATTGGGGTATGGGTGACGAAAGAGAAAGACAGGAATGAATGAAGCAATGGATGGATGATGTGGGTGCTTGTGCAAGCTCAACACTACGAGTCACCGTATGATGAGTCAGAGATTTGATGCTTTGCTTCTGCACCGTCCACCGTTTGATAGGTCAAACCCTGAAACCCCTTTTGGGCTTTTTGGGGCTCAGCTCAACATGTTTTGCATTGGCGGCAAAAATTCGCATCGAAATTTCTATTTCTGTTTTTTTCACTTCAAGGGTTAATTGCTTTGATTCTGTGATCCACACACACCACCACCTCAGATTCTAATTTATTTCGGTGGGATCCCATTTCCGTAGCTTCCATTTATACACTTGAGTTAAGTGAATTGAATATTCAATTCATGGTCTTTTGATGGAATGTAAAAAGAAAAAAACCAAAAATTTAAATTTCAACTGGTTACCTCACTTAATTAGATTTGGTTATCCGTTAGTTTTGTCCTTGATGTAATTCACTTGATCTTAGACACAAGTTATCTTTGCAATTTATTCTCTCCACATCTTTTCAACTCTTTAGCTAGCTTAGGTCAATGAAAATTCTAACGGGAAAAAAGGAATTTACTTACATAGTGCATAATAGTTATCTCATATTTGAACTTTTATAACATCTTGATAGTGTGTGTGAGAAAAAATCCCTCTCTCTTCCTAACCTTGGCAGACAAAAAAAGAGAGTCAAAGTATTGAATTCTTTGGTAAGCAAATATATTTATAGGGGAGAAGTCTTATGCTCTCAATATGAACTCTAGATTTTAGGGAGGAAATTGAGTTACATCATTGACTCTTAGTCTATCAAATTATAAAATTAACTGTTACTTTTCTATAGGGCACCTATTCTGTACTTGATGAGGCAACGTTTTGCTTACATGGACGCCAAGTTGATGCCGCATATGCAAAAGTTATTATTTATTTTGTATATGGCCTCAATTAATATACGTGTCATTGATATGACGTCCACTTGAACAAAAGAATAAACTGATGGTGTAAAGCTAAGAATTCGTCACTTTAAGAATTATTTTTGTCAGTTAACAAAAAGAACAATGATCAAATTGTTACATACTTGAAAGAGGAATTTACAGTACACCAATATACAAATCCAACATGGCAGATAATGAGAAGAAAAGAAAAGATATGATTTTGTTTTGTTTTGTTTTTGGGGTTGGATAGATAAATCTAGTAGAAACATACGGATCACAAGTACACAAAAGGCGGCTAGTAGTAGTGGCACTCAATTACCCAAGTAGCTCCCAAAAAAGCCACAATCTCAAGGATTAGCTAATCCATTATCCTCTTAAGAATCCTAATCTCGTCTCATTAACATACAAATATATAATCAAATCACCAAAAAGTTCCACGTCCACAACATTAAGCTACAAACAAAAGGCTACAAAAAATGCAAATAAGAGAGAGAGAGAGAGAGAGAGAGAGAGAGAGAGAGAGAGGGTTATAGGGTTTATAGGTCTTTTAAACCTCAGCCGCTTAGGTCTGCATGTCTCTGTAGATCGGAAGGAAACAAACAAGAGACAAAAACATATGAGAAAAGAAACGATAGTAAAGGAAAACGAGAGCTCATGGGGGGGCGCCCTTGTATGTGTTCCATCCAGGCTGAGGCCAGCCAATCAAAACATGGACCACACAGACACTGACCACAGATTCTTTTGTTTATTCAACTTTTCAACTTTCACCCTTTTGTTACAGTTTTTATTTTGACCGTGCGTGCCTATCAAAAATAATAATGCATAAATATTTAAGATAATTGTTGGATATATCAGAGAATTAGCATGGCTGCTGCTGCTGCCGCCTGCTAGCTCTATATTAATGATGTTCATATCATGGATTTTTCTTTTACCTTTGAGAGAAGCCTGCTCTCTCTCTCTCTCTCTCTCTCTCTCATGCAAATTGCAATTTGGAAAAAAGGTTGGGGTCTGGCTCTCTGGGCGTGCACTGAAAAGGGGCACATCCCATTCACATGTGTGCAAAAACATAATTAAAATAAGATAAAAAAGGAAGAAATAAAATCGCTGCAAATATCGTTTTGCTGGTCAAAAAAATGTCAAACATCGTTTTCCTGGCCTGTCTGAAATTGTTTTTTTGTGTAAATCGATGGTGCCCTTTGAGTTTTATGATCTATCTCTCTTGATATCTACAATTTACAAACAAGTGTATATACTATTTTTATGTGTTTTTCCAGGACCAGACCAGGTCATCTGATTAACCTTCTTTCACTTTCCATGTTCATTTTGGTAATGTCACACAGTCAAAGCCTTGTATAAGATTTCAACCTCATTCTCAAGTAGGAACCCCCAGGCTACTCGAGAGACTTCTGGAGGGTCCAGTCCAGTCCAGTCCAAAGGACTAAAACAACATTGGTTGAATGGCCCAATCTCATCACTAATCAAGTTATCAACTTTTTTCTGGAGGTCATTCAGAGAGAGAGAGAGAGAGAGAGAGAGAGAGATAGAGAGATAAAACCTGGGGACACTATGATGGTGATCATAATCAAATAGTTCCAATAGTTTTCCATTTGAGTGATTATTTGCGTGGATACTTCTCAAAACATAAAAACTTAGAAATAGAAGTGTTAAGAGGGAGTCCTTAATAGTCATCCGATCAATTGTATTGAACCCTCAAAATATACACCTCATTATAGAAGCTCCGGCCAAATCATGCTTTTGTTCAATTGTTTGTTGATGAACTTGGTCCCTAATCAAAACACACCACATGTGCTCAACCTCATGTTGGTAAAGCTGGAAAATTGTGATCCATTAATAAAAATATGTTGCAACTAATTTGAAAATTGAAAAAAATAATTAAATTATAGTCAAGCAAGAGGCACTCTCGCAAGAAGAATGCCCAAAAAAACACACTTTGGAAAGGTAAGAAGTGAGAGCCAAAAAATAGGGGTTTGTGCTAAAAAAAGCCCTGCTCTATATAGCGTTTCTTTGTTGTCCTATAATTTCCTTTTTATTGTCCCTATAGTGCCCCGGCTACTCAAAATAGAAATTGTGAAAAAAGGCTATTTTAATTAATTTCACTTTAAAAAATAGGTTTATTGCTTGCCTATATGATTTGATAATTAAAAGTGTTTTTGAGGGATGGCCACAATATAAATGCCACTAATTTATCATCCTTGTTGAATTAAACTGAAATTTAATGAATCTCCTTGACCCATTTCTGCTTTTGTTCACAATAAATCCAAGATTTTAACTTCAGCTTAAACTTTTAACAACACTCCACGGATAAAAGAAATTCGTACTAAAAAAAATATAATACAATAATCACAAGGTAATTACCAAAACACTAATCTTTACCTTGCAATACACCAGAAAATGAACGTTCATCAAATCTATATTCACTCCACAAGGCAAAACAAATCCCGACTCTTCAGAAAAATACCCGTACAAACTATGACTCCAAATTATAGAAAGAAAAAATGGAACTCAATGCTGCATTCAAGAAACCCTCACCAGCACATTCATTTAAGGGCCTTCGATGCAACAAAGAGCCTCTAGGACACGTCCATAGTATTTCATGGTACGAGGCAGTGATAATGATCCCTGCCGACCAAACTTCATGTGCCACAATTGAACCCACCCATCTCTTCTTATTTGGTCATATTAGAATACATTGACCCACCTTGGCACCTCTGATCACAATGGACACCAGACCAGACTGAAACCAGACACACGGGATGCCCCGACCCACTTCAACTTGACCCCAACTCGACCCCGACTTGACCCAACAAAACCACCAGGAACTTCTGCTGCATTCAAGTAAATGCTCCTGCAATTTCAGCAAACCAAAAACAGTAACTAGTAGGGAAGCAAAATACTTCCTAAGTTTGCTGCATATAGGGTTACCATTAATCTTCATGCGCCAAACCACATGAACCTCACCTTCAGCTAAAGTTGAATCCACCGGATGGAACTTGAAGTTCGTTCCCTCCAAAGTGGAAGCCTGGCTGGGAACCATCTCCTGATGGTAATGTCTCATCATCTTCCTCCACCCAATATGTCTCAAGAATTTTAACTGCCTTCTCATAGATCTCAGTGTTGTCATGACTCTGTAGATTTTCAATCTTTTCTAGGCCCTCAGCATCATCAATCAATTGGGCAAACAAGTTAACTTCTCCAGTGTTACCAGCATTCTTTTCAGCTTCCCCAACTTTCAGAATGTTCTCCAAACCTTCTAAACAGACGGTGACAATTCTTGGATCAGGGCATACAAGAAGATCGCACAACGGTTTTATACAGCCTTCACCAACAAGGTACCTGACACCCATAAAGAAAAGGTGAACTTGATAAGATAACCTCAATAAGTAGAGAACTAAGACAGCCAGAATAAGATATTAAAAAATCACAAACTTGATTTGCTCAGGAGTGCCCCCAGAAGTAGCATTTGAGATTGCCCATGCAGCTTCTTTCTTTATGTCAAACTCAGCATTTTGGAGCAAATTCACCAGAGGGCCAATCAAACTAGCGTCAATTACAGACTGCATTATTTTCAAATTAGTAAGTGAACATTGGATCTTCTACAGGACATGCTAATAAAAACACCAACCTCTGCATATATGCATCATGTTGAAAGGTGCTAGTCATTTACTTAAAGTTCAGTGAATAAAATGAGAAGTCATATTTAGTTAAATACTAATAAAGGGATTTTCCCCCAACATTTGTAGTGCAAATTTTCATACAAGAAAAACAATCAGTCTCAATGTTAGATGCGACAATGTCATTATATGAACTTAG